TTATTTCATCATTAAACCTACAATTGGACCAACTGATCCATTGGTACAACCTGTGGCTCACTGACCTGAGGCTTCGCTAGATCATAGTGGGTTCTGTTCCGAATGCATTGTATTTACTACACCTTAACTGGCTTTTCGTAGTTAACTTGTGGAGTTCTAGTATCTTGATAGAATCAAGTATCATACATCTTTTGACTGTCATTGAGCTAATTAAAGAAGCTTCGACTCATGATATGTGATTTTTCAGCTGTCATTCATTGTGCACCTGCAGTATTGAAATCTTCATCTGTATTCTTTCTGAGATTTCCGTGTTGGTTTTCTAGTGAGTTTCTTGAGACAACTATGATGTAATTTCTCATGCTATCCCTGATGAAGTAGTTTCTTGTTGCAGTGTAGTAAATTGTGGTTAGTTTGCAGCAAACAATTTTAGTTGCAGTAGATGACCCTTCTCAAGCCGCCACCTCCTCGAATTCTCCTGAATAATGTTTCTTGCATGCGTAATGGTCAGACTGTCCTCCGCAATATAAATGTCTCTGTGCATGATGGCTCTTCTCTTGTCTTGACTGGTGCTAATGGCTCTGGAAAGACCACCTTTCTTCGTATGCTAGCTGGATTCTCACGTCCATCTGCTGGGGAGATCCTATGGAATGGGCATGACATCACATCTCCGGGAGTCTTCCAACAATACAAGCTACAACTTAACTGGTTATCAATGAAAGATGCCATAAAGGAGAAACTTACTGTATTGGACAATGTACAATGGTTTGAAGTCCTGGAAGGCAAGTGTGGGAAATCCATGGATGCTCTTGAGTTAATGGGGCTAGGTAGGCTTGCAAAAGAGAAGGCGAGGATGCTTTCAATGGGTCAGAGGAAACGACTACAGTTGGCGAGATTACTGGCTATAGACAGGCCGATCTGGTTGCTTGATGAACCATCAGTTGCTTTAGATGCTGAAGGAGTGCGGATGTTGGAATACATAATAGCGGAGCACAGGAAGAAAGGTGGAATTGTATTTGTGGCAACACACCTGCCAATTGAGATTGAAGATGCAATGTCCCTTAGGCTACCAGCAAGGTTCCCGAGGAGGAAAACTTTGGTTGATATGGTCCATTCAGTGTAAATGTGATCTCTGTTCTATTCCTCAACGATTTGTCTCCTGAACTGCAGATTCCATATTTCTTGTACTTCCAGAAAGATTTCCAAAGAAGAAAAATTTTAGTCAATCTAGCCCATTGATGTACGCATAACATATATGTTTTCTTTTTCCAATTGTTTCAGATGCCACCTTTAGCTTGACATACACATAACATACATACTTTTTCCAAAGTTTATTTTTCTTGTTGATCAGTTGTGTTCAATTCACTGTTAGTCTCTCTCCCTCTCTCTCAATCTCTCTTAGCTAGGAACACTATATTTTCATAGAGGTTGTTTAAGCGCTTGGTTGACAGTATGTTATTCTCCTATGACAATTGAGATCGTTTTCTATCATTGGATTAAGATATTAGCTGTAAAGTCTGACAAACTCCAGGAATTGTTTGCACTGGACAGACTGAGCCACGTTTGAACAGCTAAGGGAGTTCTAGCATTGCTCCACATGCAAGGTTGGACAGGAGAGGGCAATGTTACTTCAGGTATCTACCTATCTCAATAGTGGAGTAGGTATTTACTCACCATAAATGCTGCTGATTTCAATAGTTGGAACATTACCATCACCTGCTTGACTCCCTTCACATGCCTTTACTTTCACTGACATCCTCTTCTTACTGGTTTTTCTTTCAAGTGAAGGTGCAAGTGTGTCAGGTTAGAGCAATTTCTTGGTAAGCTTGCTCTTAAACATGCCATTGATCAAGCAGATAGCACTGGTAGCATCTTCCTTTGGGAATAGATTACTGCCAATGTGATTTAGTTGGATGCTACTATGGTGCATCCAGATTGGGTTTTTAATTATATGACTGTTCTTGTGAGCAAAGGAGATGTCTACATCTATTATGGATAAGATTTGATGCAAGATTTGGATTGACATCAATTATTCACTTGAGATTTGCTCAGGCTTGGTCCGTCTTGAGTTGACAGAGGCATGAGTTTGCAAGGATGGACTCTTTAAGTCAACAAAAGTTGCTTAATACTATTACTCGTCTCCCAAAGAATGTTTTAGCAATATTTGGAACTATAGTTTTTTTTTTTGGCAAGATTTGAGCACATGAAATTCATAATTTCACAGACTATCAGCTTGTGATGCAATTTGATATAATGTGAGATCATAGGGTTTTAGTTTTGTTTGAATAATTATATATATGTATTGGACTGATAAGCTGGGATCCATGGTACTGAAAGATGGTCGCTAACATTTAAAGCATCATACTCTTAAAATGCTTGTCCTGTGGTAGCTGTCATGGAACAAAGGTGTTCACTCAACTCAAATGTCTTTTTTCCTTGTTTGGTGTTTACATAATATTTTAGCATCGCCCACCTCAAATATATGAGTAAGAGCATTTATACATTAAAAATATGTATTGCTTTTGTTGGATATTTGAGACATTTTTCTCTGTTAAGGTAAACCTGCGGGGTTGGAACTAATACATGCGTGCATTCATGGAAAGCTTCAGGCTCTTCGCTGACCCCTGAAGGATCGTTCAAAGAACAGGTGATGGCTTTCCTTGTTGAGGTAAGCATCAGCATCATTTGGGAGTCGTCTTCTTTACCCTGCTTCTGATCATATACTAAACTCACCGTAGCGAAGTGTTGCTTGTCCTTGAGCACTTGTACCTGTTGACATTAACTAGGATTGTGTTGCAAATAGACCCTGAGGCATGGGTTCAGTGGAATCCTAGAATCTACAGTGGCTTTATTCCATCATATTGGACCAAAATTATAGGCAAGATAATGTAATTGAGAAGATGTGGGTTCATTGTTTGTTGGTTATATTAAATGGTGAATAAGATATTTTCGCGTGAACTCCAATATGAGATCTATTAATTATGTAATAATAGATTAATCATTTAGATTTGGATGTCGAGATTTTATTTGTTAGCTCAAGATGTTGCAAACAGAATAATTAATTTTTTGAAAGCTCATGTCAAATCTCATGTGTTTTAGTGTTGATTAATTTGACCCCTACTTATTATCCTATATATAAAAAAAACCATAACTTAAAACTCATGCTAGTTAGTGTTGATTAATTTGACTCAAACTCTTTACCTTAATATATGTTTTCTCCTTTTTCCGACAAAACAAAAAAAGAAAGGGAACTTTGGATGGATTTGAAAGCACACTTTGCGGTGTCCAAGTTAATTGAAGTTGCGAGATTTAATCTCACTTTTCTCTCTCTCTCTCTCTCTCTCTCTCTCTCTCTCTAATATATATATATATATTGTCAGTTAATATTGCATGCTGACAGAAGCTAAATAAATATTTGATTGTTCTTTTTTTTTTTCCTGATGTGAAAAGACTGCATGACAAAATAATAGTCAAAGACGAGAGGGATGAGAGGAAAAGAACGCAAAAGAGACATTGCTTTTGACTTTGTTCCCTCGTACTTGACTACGAAAACTACAAAACTCCAAATCAGACAGACATGCAAGGAACAGACATTTTCCAGCAGCCAAGGTGAGTTGTTTCCCATGGCTGACCAGAAGATACGTGCTCTCCCAGGAAGCTTCTACAGTTGTCCTTTTAATTCTAATATTATATGTACGTATTTAAAAATATTTAAATCTTTCGTGAGTGATAATTTTAAAATTATTATTATTTTTAATTATTAAAATTTTAAAAAATCTAAAAATGATATATATTTTTTTAAAGAGAATATTGACATCTAATCGATTAGTGCATTGCTACACAAATGATAAATCTAATTTTAAATATAATAAAAAAATATTTTATTTTTTAAAATATAGAAGTATATTAACTACAATGGAATATCTATAAGTGTTTTAGCTTTATAAGAATATATATATAAATACACTAAAATTTACAGGAGTAAATACAAAAAAAAATGATATACGAATATCGATATATAAATTTTTGCCAAAAAATGAAAAATAAAAAGATAATACATTGCATCGTAAGTTATATATGCTTTTTCTTGAGGAATACATTTTTATATGACTTTTACAACCAAAAAAAGGTGGTAGGCGTATGTATGTATATACGTCATATAGATTCGAGTTTTCTCTTTGCTCTCTTCTCCATAAATGCACTCTCAGAGGCCTTAAATGTTGGGAGTTGGAGGGGGCTCCATAATATATATATACATATGTAAACGAAAATGGTAAACAGGAATGGAGATAATTAAGTCTCCTTAGCTGGGAGACTTGACGATTTACCCTTCTTGATCACCTCCATCCGGCTTTGGAATCTTGCAGGTTCTCACTGCCACCACTTTGCAGTAATGAAAAGCCTAGCTTACCTCGAGGAGACACTCGAGAAGCTCTAGCTTTGCTCTTAGTTGTTAGCATTAATTGCAGAGCTCGTAAGTGTTGTGTGGAAATAGGATCATTTGTCATTATTTACCATGTCATTCAAATAAGTTCTCCATTATGAAGTCGTACAAGATTCAAAGCTAGCACATTTAATTCGTAATAAAACACCAGTTCTGCTCAGGAAGCATTTAATGCTTCATCTTTTCTCTTTTGAGTTTATCTTTTTCCTGTTAGATGATTAACAAAGGATATATATATATATATATATATATATATATATATATATATATATATATATATATATATATATATATATATATATATATA